AATCGATCCTCATATATTTAAATAGTCACCTTTTGATCACAAAATTAATTCCAAATTAATTCTTGATCAATACTAATTAAATAATATGATTTCATATTAATATATTAGAACTTATAATATATTAATAAACCATAAGTGTCATTTTTCCTCATTTTGTCTATCCAATTGTTATGATGTCATGCAACCCAAATGGACCATGCCAAGTCGGGTCAAGTACTTACCAAAAATAGTTATGGACTTAGACACTATGTCCAACACTTGGCACATCGGCCACGGCCCTGCTGACCCTTACTGGATGGATCTGAGGTCTTAGGCTTTTTAGCCTGACCTACTGTTGTCTGTGCCTGCTCAGGCTTCCGCTTGGTGCGGAAGTCCAAGTCCATCTCCCGCTCACTGGCCTTCTCCACCATCTCATTCAGGGTTTTGCATCCTGTAAAGCTCACAAACTCCCGAATATCATCCCTCAGCATGGAATGATACCTCTTCCTCCGCATGTCCTCATCAGTAGCATACTGTGGGATCAACAATGTTCGCTCCCAAAACTTGGCGGTGATCTCCGCCACAGTCTCGGTAGTCTGCTGGAGCTCCTAGAACTCCCTCACCATCCGTTGCACCTCAATAGTCGGTGCAAACTCCAAGACAAATCGCCGAACAAACTCGACCCATGTCATCTCAGCCACACCGGCTGCTCCCACCTGGCTGGTCACCTCTCCCCACCAATCCCGGGCTCTGTCCCTCAGCATAAATGAAGCAAAACCCACCTTTTCCGCATCAAGGCAAGAACTCGTACGTTGGGCGTTCTCAATGTCCGCCACCCAGCGTCGGCTGACAATGGGGTCCCTGACCCCGAAAAACTCTGGCGCTCCCCACGCCTTGAACTCCCGAAACAAGGGAGTTCGGGCCCCGATCTGGCCCGCGGCAATCTCGGCTCTGAATGACCTGAGCCTCTCCTTCATGATCTCCATGGTAACCTCCCTGACCGTCCCAAAGATCACTGGGGTAGCGTCAAGGATGCCCTTCATAACCTCGGCTGCAATGATCTCGCGCAGCCTCTCATCAATGGGCTTAGTACTGTTGCCCGATCCGGATCCAGATTGTGATCCCGATCCTGATCCCCTTGTCCCAAATCATGTCACCACCATGTTGAACTGAAATGTCATAAACCATAATAATTAGGACATCTATACAAGGGATCTTCCCACATCGGTCCTCCTTAGAGCTATCAGATCTAGCATTAGTTCGGGTACAGGTCCTGTGCTTTCAGTAGTACGGGCCCAATACTACCTTCCACACCTACTTGTACCTTTCCCCAAGCTCTACTTGATAACTCCAATTCGTCCCAAAACAAATCATATACCACAAACCATCGCATAACCCAAATCCCAGGCTGTCCTAAGATTTGCTCTACCCATATCAATCAGACCAATCATAACATGTTGCCTTTATGCATGTAAATTATACACAGAAAAAGGATCAAATAGACTTACGAATAAAAGATTCTACCCTAGGACCACAACCAGACAAGGAACAGTAAATAAGGCCAAATCAATCATTCTAAGGCTATAAGCTCCTAACTGTATACAATTTTAAAAGCATACACATAGCAAGTTCCATACGATTATCACAGCTCAAATATCAGTATAACATGGCTAACATATTGGGGAACTACTTACTTGGCTCGGCCGATCACGCGCGTTGCACTCTCCTCTTTTCCATTCCTTAAAGGTTTTTAACTTTTATTTTTGAAAACAATTTTAACATTTCCTTAGTTTGAGTCATGACACACCCGAGAGTGTGCCCGAATCCCTCAAACCAATGCTCTGATACCAACTTGTAACGACCCAAATTTTCAAAAGAAATATTTCATTTTTAATTAATCAAACCATTTCCATAAACCATGAAATCCCAAAACAATTGTTATCAAATCTACATTCATTACAACTTTATTTAAAAACATCAGAGTGTCCCATAAAATGTCGGTGAGAGAGTGCACGCCGCGCCATCAAGCCTTGCCCTTGGGCTCAGATGTACCTGAAACAAATCCACAAACTGTAAGCTAATGCTTAGTGAGTCCCCCAGAGCATACCCCACACACAATCCACATAACACATATCATATTAGCTATAAAGCTACACATATCACATAAGCCATGCATACAACATATAAGGAAGCCATGGAAAGATCTAACCTCTCTAGCCTCTGGAGTTGCTCAACTCACGAGAGGAGATTCAAAACCAACAAAAGGGACAAAACTAGAAAACCCTAGCTAGATCTAATGAATAAGATGGAAAGATCAAAGCTTTATACCTCCCGAAGCTCCTCAAGGTGAACTAAATGCAGATTCTTGAAGCCTAATGCCACTCCAAGTTTGCTTGACAACTTCTCCTTCTTGAATGGACACTAAAATGGCCACAAATGCACTCCTTAAGCTCAATACACACTCTCAAATGGTATTACGGTTTTCAGAGACGTTTGAAGGTGAGGGAGGCTGATTAGGGTGAGGCTCAAATGAGATAAGGATGCTTATATAGGGCTCAAGTCCGGAAATTAGGGTTTGGACATCCGTCACGTACGCCCAGCGTGCTTTTGGTACGCCCAACGTACGTGTTGTCCCTCCACGATCAATTATACATAGTACACTAAGCGTACTCATGAGTACGTCCAGCGTACTTAAGGGAATTATTATGCAATTTTTAAAATCTTCAAGGGCTTTAAGGTAATAACTGGTTTGGAGTGTTACATGTCTACATGTGAAGTTGAGTTCATGGCAGCCAGAGCGCCAGCGTGTCAAGCCATTTAGCTTAGGAATCTCATGAAGGAGCTTACGGGACATCATGTTATGCCTATCACATTGTATGTTGACAAGAAGTCAACAATTGCCTTGATGAAGAATCATGTGTTTCATGGTAGAAGCAAACACATTGACACTCGTTATCACTTCATAAGGGAATGTATTGAGGAAGGGAAAATTGTAGTGGAACATGTCGTTTCCAAATAACAACGAGCGGACAATTTTACTAAAGCCTTGACACACATGAAACATGGCGAAATGCGACATATGATCGGAGTGACGGATACCGAGCTTTGTCCGGTTTAAGGGGGAGAATGTGATTATTAAACATGACCACATAAGTCAGCAACATTAATTCACCTCCATACAAAGTTGACTTTTGTTCCCCTATGTTTGAAAAATACCATATACCCCTACTAGACTAATAAGTGTGGTATTTGCATTAGATGATCCTTGACTTTTAATGCTAGGTAGTTAGTATGTGTAAGCTTAAATAGAAGCTGATAACAACTTTTAATATCTCTTTTCACCTTGTAATTTGTCTTTCATTTTAATATGAGAAAAAGCCTTTGGCAGCCCCTCTACCATTCTTTCTTTTTTTGTTTTGGATAGCAGCAAAACCCATCTTTACTTATCATCTTTTGCCTTCTAAAATTGCATACAAATTGTCTTTTCTAATTTCCAACAGATATATCATATGTATCATTTCTTCTGGATATGTTCTCCATAGGCGATTGATAAAACTTCTTGAAATGATAATTTTAATATCTTACAAAAAATTAATTACTATTTTTGTGTTGAACTGCCACATAACACATATACTCCATCTCATTATAACTTATATTTTAATTATGTACAAAACTCGTATGCTTTCAAGAAAAGAACTATAATATCCTTCCTACGTAATTTTCTCGTGTTAACCATTTGACGCAAAATAAGCATTACAGAATGGCTCCTTCCATTCAATCAAACAAAACAAAAAACTATTAGCTCAAAGTATTACAGGTAAAAGAATTGGAGAAAAAGTGTTCATTCCAAGAATAAGTCTAATAAATAAAGACCTTAAAGGCTTAAATTATTTTCAATTTTAAATGAAAACAATTTCAAGTTTCATTTCAACCCTTCTTGCACTTTCTGAATCACGCAAGCGTCCACTTCTTAAAAATCCAAGTAACTCCAATGTGTGGTGATTTTAATGTCACCATGTCATTTTATATAACTGGAACTAACATGTGAGCTAAGGGGCTTCTTAATTTGTACTCTAATATATGTACGGGTTGGTGCGGAGTGCACGCATGTATATGATCGAATTAGAAGTCGGTTCGACGACTAGTCGGGGGTCCGGGGGCAGCGCCCCTTTGACGGGGTTTAGGGGCAACGCCCCTAGCGGGGTCCAAGGGGCAGAACCCCTGGCTCACCAAATTTTACATATGGAAACATAGTGGAAAATTCAATTTCTTGAGGGTGATTATGGTAAAACTAACGAAACTCGTTAGTTTTGGTAACCCTAAATCTTCATTAGATCCAGATTATCCTGACTTGCTTCCAAAACAACTAATGACTGTCCAACCCTAATGAAACCCTAATCTCGTTTAATATATAAACGGTTCTTCCTTATCAGAAGTAGGTCACGATCATTAGCTCTCGTTTTCATCAAACACTCACAGAATCTCTCTAGCAAATTGGCTTACGATTTCTGTGCCTAGAATCGTAAGTGTCCACTTGGATTATCCTAGGCTGAATTTCTTGCAACCCAGGAATAGGGTATAAATATCAGTTCGGAAAGTATTGTCACGATCCAAGTTGGTATCCAGATCTTTACCACAAACCCTATAATTTCCTATATCCAAAACAGCTTTACATATATGAAAAAAAGTACTAAGTTGATATGACACTAGGATTCATACAAAGGTGCCACCGACAAGCTTACAAATAAACAGAAAGTGTTGACAAAGCTACCATGAATTAAGCTAACAATGATCATATGAGTTGGCACAAATCTTAAATAACATCACATCACCACTATTCCAAAATGTGTATATTTTGTGATTCACCTTTGATAAACATTTATTATTGACAAGAAACTTTTTTGGCCATCTGGACTCACAGCCACTCCCAACTCCCTCCAGCTCAGCCAATTCCTTACCACAAACCCTTGCTATGCCTCTTTGCCATCCACTCATTCAAGCCTTATATATAAGCACGAAATTTATGGGTATGTATTAGCAATTTCTTGTAAATAGAGGGCTAAATCATTCGGTTTTGATAACATGATCATATGACCAGCTTCAGGAAAGTATTTTACTTCATCTGGGGGGCTGTCTTCAACGACGAATTTTTGAAATTCTTCATCCATCACCTGGTCTTTCTCGCATATTACATAAACCCTCTTAATCGATCCATATTTGTTTATGGTGAGAATAGAATCCTCGCTCATGTCCTCCAAGAATAACCTACTCGGTCGTATCAACATCTTTGCCAATGCTAAATCCTACACCAAATTATCACATGAAAACTAAGATTGTGATACAACTGATCATATATATATGCATCAGTGCACGTCAAGATTAGGACGTACCTCCGATTGGCAACTCCGGTACATCATGGTGGCTAGGTAATCGCATCCTAGTTCCGCCGACACTGGCAACCCATCTTTGAACGTGAACCGACAATCCATATAAGTCTCCGGCTTCAAATTCTTGAAGTACTAAAAAAACACATGAAAAACTATGAGAGATAGAGGGGGGGAGAGCTAAAAAGAAACGATCGTGTGTTTATTTATACCTGGTTCATCTGGAGTGCTGGTGGATCCCTGCAATTGGGCATGTAAGCGGTGATGAAAATGGCAGCTGACACAATGTGTGAAAACTTCTCCATGGCGACGGAGATAGGAAGTCCACCAAAGCTGTGCCCAACTAACACCACCCTTTCATCGCCAGATAGCGACTCCATAAACTGAATCAGTGGTTGTACATAATCGGAGAAGGTGGCTATTTCCTCAAGTCGACTTGGGTGCACCCCAGAACCACCAAGGTCCACCGCCGTCACACGGTGGCCGGCAGATTGCAGGTTGCTCACGACCTTGTACCAGCACCATGCTCCGTGGGATAGGCCATGAACCAGTACGAAGTGCTTCGGTGAAGTGGTGGTGCTCGGCATATTCTCGACGAGATAGGAGTTTTCTTTTCTGGATGTTTATAGTTTTTGTAAAATTAATGTGTTGAAATTTATATTCAATCAAGAGTACAATCCCTGTACACAAAAATTAAACTCATCCCCTTATTGCATCAACCATCCTCAAATTTAATCCCCTACCAATAATGACATTAATTAACATTCAGTCACAATTTTAATTTTGTAAATTTAATTATAAATTATATTTTATAGTTATTGTGTAAAATAATAAATTTTTTTTGAACCGGCAAATATATCATATAATCTACTCCTAAACTAACACCTTAATTCACATATGTCCACAACGAGACTTGAACCATCGACCTCAAGGAGGGAGGACACCACTTTATACCGATGGGCTAGAAGTCCTTTGCAATTTCAGAAAAATATCATAAGAATCTATGAACAATATATATCTGTATGAGGTAAGGCATGAGGTGTACAAGCCCCACACCCTACTGTGAGCTTAGTTGGTCGTGTGATGATGCAGTGAACATCACATTTTATGTTGTGTGATGTGCGGTAAAGACTGCACCTGATTCCTTTGGGAAAATGACTTAAAAGACCATCGAAGTTTCAAATTTGTTCAAAAAAAACCATTTAAGTATTACATGTTCAAAAAATACCATCAAATTAAGACATATGTTCAGAAAACATCAACGAACTACATATTATGTTCAAAAAAACATCATTTCTATGGTTTGGGGTAACTTACATGTTTAGCCCCTAACTTTTTTTTTAACTCAGACGGTCCCTAGCGTATGTATTTATTTCACCTTTGGACAATGATCGAGTTAAAAGACTAATATACCCTTATTAGTTTCATTTAACATTTATTTTTATTACTTGTTAATTATTTGTACAATTGATATATTTATAATAAATAATAACATAAATTGTATAAATAATTAATAAATAATAAAAATAATGTTAAATGAAAGTAATAAGGGTATATTAGTCTTTTTAACTCGATCAGGGTCTGTGGTCGAAGCAAATTTAAACTAAAGGGACCGTCTGAGTTAAGAAAAAAAAGTTAGGGACTAAATATGTAAGTTACCCCCAAAACATAGAGATGGTGTTTTTTGAACAGAACATGTACTTCGTTTGTGTTTTTTGAACATATGTTTTAGTTTGATGGTATTTTTTGAACATGTAATACTTGAATGGTTTTTCTTGAACAAATTTGAAACTTTGATGGTTTTTTAAGTCATTTTCCCGATTCCTTTTCCTCACTACTTTATCCCTTTTCTTTAATTTGATTAATTTATTATTAAATCATGTATATATTAAAAAAGATAAAAGTATATATTGAATTTCATAGTTTTAAAGTCTGTGAATAAAATATATAATATTAGATATATTATTTATTTAAATTTGAATATTAAAAAGTAATAATGATGAGTGACCATTTTCAAAATATTTTAATTAATACCTGGCATATAATATTAATATTATATTATATTTACTATCATGTTTAGACTTTAAACGAAAATGTATATGCCACATGATTTGTACCGTGCACAGTGCGTAACACAATGGTAAGATTTAGCGGCGCCGAAACTAAATATTCAAATGGGCAATTTAAAACAATAAACACATGTTATACTACTGCTATTTTTTTTTTTAACATGCAAATAGAGAATTATATAAAAAAAATTAAAAAAAAAAGTCCCAGTAAGTTGCTAAGGAAAAGTACAGCAAAGAAGGAAGGCAAAGCAAAAATGAAGAAATAAGAAAAAGATTACAACCCGATAAAAGGGTTTAGACACCAATCTGACCACCTAATCGGATCAGTTTTTCCTTTATATTTGACCCAAATGAACAGTGTCGACATAATGATATCCACCAATTTCGTCGGTTGCAGCCTTTTGTTATTGAACACGCTGTCATTTCATGACTTTCAAATACTTCACATAGGTCCATAGAAAATTCCCAGCAATCTCTTTTTTTTCTTTGGATAATTCCCCCAATTTGATGCATAATCGAGTGTACCATGAACCGTGGAAAAGTTTGCAAGCTGAATGTTGCATCATTTTAAAATCCACTTCATTACCGTTTTGGCATAAGAGCATTGAATCAACATGCGATCTGATGTTTCTTCTACCTATTAATAGTTAATTAATGCCAAAATTAAGTATCGAATATAAATATTTATCTTTTTTTCTGAATCGGCAAAAGAGAAATATATTTAAAAAAAAAGCACCACTAGCAAGGTATTAGGAGTGAAGAGTACGAAACGGGAATTTAAGTCTTTTTTTCTACCTTTGTGTTTAAACCAATGGAAGGTCGTCGATTTGACATTGTCCGCTACTTTCGTAGCGCACAACTGTTTGTTACCAAATATCCGTTCGCTTCTTGCTTTCAAGATATACCAAAAGGTCGCATAACAAAATGCCCCAGCAATCTTTTCTTTTACTTGGGACAATTTCTCCAATTGGAGGCGTAGTCTAGAACCTCGTACACTGTGTGGATATTTGATAATGGAACATTACATCATTTGAAAATCCATTCCATGACAGTTCTAGCAAAAGCACATTGCACTAAAATATGATCAGTCGTTTCTTCCATCGAGTCACATTGACAGCATGTGGTGGTTTGTAAGTTTATACCTCGTTTGGTTAAGGCTGCAGCTAATGGAATACGGCCCCCTTTCGCCTTCCAAATGAAACACAAGACTTTTAAGAGTATCTCCTTGATCCAACTAAATTTGGCAATATGCACAGGTCCATTATCTTCCAAGATATGTGGAAGGGCACTTACCTTATATTTCCCGACCCCCAGTGAAATCGCACTTCCACAATACACCAATCTCATCCTGATCTTTCTTGATTTTGCGTGTGAAATGCCCTTCCTTTCGAGTTCGCGTTTAATACCTACTATATTGTTCCGTACCCGTATCATTGTCTTCATAGAGTAGTAATCGTCTCCTTTGTTACTTAGTTTGTGAACCCATGTGATGACTTTTTCTCATAGTGTGGATGGTTCCGACCTCAGACGCCACCACCGTTTCACCAGGAGTGAGATATTTAGGGATTTTAAGGATCTAACTCATAACCTACCCTTGTCTTTATCCGCGTTGACATTCTCTCATGATACCCAATGTATCGTTTTTTTTACCCTGAGCCACCCTATATAAATATTTACCTGTCATTTTTTTTCATAATATATATTTACCAAATTCTAGAGTCGTAGTCTTTTTTATATGTAATTCTCAAAATTGTAAAAAATGGCGGAGCCAAGAATTTTAATATAGGGGTACAAACATTTTCAAAATTCAAAATAGTAAATGCAAAGAGTTTCTTAATATTTAAAGTTATAAATCGAAAAAACATAGTTTAAGCAAAAGTTACAGTTAAATCCACCTAGGCGCCATGTCTTGAAATCGATCAATGATATTGTCATCAAAAACTTGTAGAAAAACATCATTCTCAATACAAGTCACTAAACAATCGTTTAAAACTTGATCATCCATGTTATTCTATAACTTCTTCTCTCTAGATTTATTGTAGTAACCGAAAAATATATATTTTATGTGGTTATCTTATCTAAAGCATTAAAAACATGGTATAATCTCTTTAGCTAGGGGTACAACAACACAGAGTATTTTTACAAATAAATTTTTTCCGTATATAAAACAATTTTTTTGGGATGTTATAATACCCCACCGTCCAATGTAGCTACGCTAGTGATTGTAAATCACACTTAATTATAAACAACAGTCATCCATTACTCTTGCAAATTTTATGAGTATTTATAATTTTAATTACAACCCATAATTAACATAATTAACAATTAGGTTATTGTATAACTGATTAACAATTAACTTATAACAAAGTCAACTAACATCTAATTAATATATATATATATATATATATATATATATATATATATATATATATATAAAGTTAACAATAGACATATATTTTTTAAGACAAAAATTCATAAATGGTCCTTGTGGTTTCTCGAAATCTAGATATAGTTTCTAAGTTTAAAAAACCTCATACATGGTTCCTGTGGTTTCAAAAATTATAACAAATAGTCTCTCACCCACATAAAAGACTTGTATACCCTTTTTAGTTTCTTTTACATTTTTTTAATTAAAACCATTTAAAAAGACAAAGAAAAAAGAAGTGATTAACCATATATATATATATATATATATATATATATATATATATATATATATATATATATATATATATATATATATACACACCAAAGAAACAACCCAGAAAAAAAAGTTCATCCCTTTCGCCCCCAATTCAAGGATTCCATCCTTGACACATCCATGTCTGGCACCCTCTCTCCTTCTCTTTCTAACCTCACACGTATGCAACTCCTTGACCTTAGCAAACTCAAAGATTTAACGGGTCGGATCCCGCCGGAAATCGAAAAACTTTCACGTCTAACCCATATGTTTTTTATGCCAATAAGCTTTCTGATTCATTTCCTACTTCCGACTCCTGTTCTGGATGAAAAAAATATACCTTAGTGATAATCATTTTAGCGGGGGGATCCCACAAGATATTTTCCGATCTTATAGATCACTTTTGAAACTTGGTCTCTCAAGGAATCAGATTTCCGGTGAGATTCCATCATCGATTGGTGAGATTTCAGTGAGGGGATCACACAAACACATACCTGTTTTTAGTCTCATCTTTCTCGCACCCTCAATCTTCCATCTTACATCGTACGTGGAACTCTAAAGAAGCCATCTAAGCCCCTCGGACGTTTAATGGGTGGACCTTCCGGTAATCGTCCCCGGTAGATATCTTGAATTCGTTCTTGATCAACCTATTGACGCAAGGAATGGTGGTGATCGGAGAAAAGCCCTTTCACATCATCTAAAACCACCAGAGCCCTTCCCTTGTTCCGCTTCTTCCCCAAGAATTAAGGAGGTAAACCTATTGGGTTTTAATTCAAAAAATAGTTTCTATAAACTCATATTATGGAAAACGGAAGAATTCAAATTTCGAACATAACATAAATATTTTATACCCACCAAGGATCATCTTGCAAGTTATAGAAAAGATTTAAACACCATCCAAAGAAAGGATGAAGAAATAAAAACATTTGTTGTTCTTTGGGTCCTCTTGGGAGGCTTGGAAGTTAATGAAGAATTTGAAACCTTTGAAACACCAACAATGACTCAACTTGATGTAATGGTAGTTACAACTCTTAAGCTTTAAGCAAAAACAAAAGTTGACTTAAAGAGAGCATGCAAGCAACAATTTCTTCAAAGTGCAAGACTAGAGAAGAGATGGAGAGGGGAGGGTCATGGAATCGGTAATTGCAAGAAAGAGTCACTAGCCAAAATGCAAGCCTCAAACTTATATGCATAAAGTGAAAGTATTAACCATTAGATCTTAACACTTTAAGCATATATGTCCCCATGTCATAAACATGTCCAAGCATTCATTCTTCCATGCTTCTACTATTGAATAAACTAATGGAAAGTCCATATCTCTTCCCCTTTCTCCAATTTTCGGAAATTATATATAAAAGAGAAGAGTTTGTTTTAATTTTATAAAATCAAGGTTTATAAAATATAAACTTTGTCTTTTGGTAAAAGACAAAAGAGTTTCAACTAGTCCAAAAAGTTGTGCATGGCTTATTAATTCATACCATATGAATTATGTAATGTTACTTGCTAATGAAAATTATTATTTCCATGAAATAAATAATTTCCAATTTAATTATAAGAGTTTACTGAATATTTATTAAAATCAATTTCTAATAAATAATCAATTATATCAAGTTGTTGTTAGGGGTCGTTTGATATGGTATCTAACTGGGTCCAAAGAGGGACTGGGTCCATAAAATACCACTTGGCACGTTTGATATTGATTATAATTATAAGGACTCGGTCCAACATCAGGATTCGGTCCAAAAAAGAGAGGACTCAATCCTTGTTTTCTACTTGACGAACCGAGAAAAAAAAATCAAAAAAACTCGTCACTTGCCCTACATTCTATTGCGATCAGGTTTGATTTCATCCCTCCCACGTTAAACTCCCAGCGACGAAAGCATCGGTCAACAACAACAGCAGCGATCAACAACAACAGAATCGGTGAACAACTGCAACATCGATCAACAACAAGCATCGATAACCAGCAACAACATCGATCAACAGCAACAGCATCAATCAACAGGTTTGTTTTTCTTTTTTTGTCCTTATTTTTTCTACATTCATAATCAGGGGCAAAATTATCCAGAAGTGATAATTTTTTCTGCATTCATAAACAGCAGCAACAGAACTTGATAATTTTTTTCTTTTATAATTCAATTTTCATGTTCTTGATTCTTAAAATTTCCATGGGAGCATGCATGTTATTTCTTGATTCTTGAAAACAAGAAGTGAAAAAATTTATTGATTAATTACTATATATCTTCCAAAAACAAAATTGGTGAATTTGAAATTATGATGTGGTGAATCTAAAATTATGATGAAATTATGATCGTGTAATGATAAGCAAGCTGTTGAAAAACACAAGTTGTCATGAATTCTAAACTTTAACATCCATACATTAATTAGTAGAATGACTTTGAAAATTATATATAATTCAAGTGGTTGTGTAACCACATATCTTTGTGGTATTGTATCTCTTTAGAGCTGTCAAAGTTATATATGAAAAAGGTAAATGAAAAAGTAAAAGTTTTGAAAATAATATGCAGAAAGTGAATGTTGGAAACATGCAAGTAGTAGAAAAGTAGTGTGAATTTAAGGCAATAAGTTTATGTTGGTAATGTTACTTTTATAAATATATGATTTTTATTTTTCTTCTAAATATTTCTTGAAACATTCAAGACACTATAGTTTGGTATTTTTTTTACTATAAATTAACAATTCATTATTTTTGATGAATTATTTATTTTATTTTTTTTATCATTTTGTATCGTTTCATCTTAATAACATTTTTATTTTATCTCTTAATAATTTTGTATATTTATAAATATGACTTATTTATGAGTATTTGTATACATGTGTATATGTATATATATACTTGTGTATATGTGTGCAAATTTGTGTGTATATTGGTGTATACATTTGTGTTACATCTTTTTGTATATGTATATATATTTGTGTTTGTGTGTGCAAATATGTGTATATATTTGCATAACATGCTAAACGTTTATTTATTCCTTAGACATGGCAGAAAAGAGAAGTAGAGCTAGTTGGTCTTCGGATTTTGTGAACAAAACTTTTCTTGATACATATATCCAAGAACTAACAAGTAACGGTCGAGAGGGTAGTGGTCTCAAAATTACCTCATGGAATACAATAGCTGAAAAACTAAAAAAAGAACACGACTTTATTGTTGAGAAAAAACATGTAGCACCCGATTCCTGGTACGTATTTAAATTCAAGAAATGTTGTAATTCACTCTGGGACTCGGCGAGTTGGAGGCCCAACTCGTCGAGTAGACTCGACTTTTGATCGGGGGTTTAAGTGACCTACTCGACGAATCGGAAGACCGACTCGACGAGTAGGAGCTGTCTGGACAAAACCCTAATATTTAGGGTTTGCACCCTATTTAAACACTTTATCTCGTCCCAAACCAGCCTCCATCGCCCTCCCAGCTCAGAGAAACCCTAGATTGAAACCCTAAACCCTTTTTGAGAGATTTTGAGCTTTTGTGCCATTTTGTAAAAGTTAGAAGGTTGAAGAGAAGAAGAAGGAGCAAGGAGATCCAGAGGTTTTGCTTCATTTCCTGTTTATAGGAGGTAAAAAGTCCAGACCTTGCTTCTTCTTTCATTAGATACTCTTTTTGGAGTAACATAGGGCTTTTGGAAGCCGTTTTGGAGCCATACTTGGATGCAACAATGATTTTGGGGATAAGGACTTCAGATCTGGAACCAATAAGGGTTCCCATGGCATAAAGGTGTCAACCTCATGGCCA